GTTATAGTTTACTTTCTCCGTCTTTATATGTAGATATAACTATTTATCTGTTAATCTCCGTCACGTTGTTTCCATAGCAACAACTTCCTGTCAACAGCGCTAACTCTCCTTCAAAATAAAAGCATGTCCATACAAAAAGGAAGCCAAATTACACTAAGACATATACAACTGCAATGAAAGTAACAAACACAATGCAATATCCTTTTCAATTTCAAAGAACACAAATTGGGTTAATTACATTAACAATAGCGGTCCGATATTCGGAATTATGACATCATCCCGATAAACCCGCTATAAGTATTAATAGCCCCGATAATATACAATAATTGTATATTATCGGGGCTATTAATACTTATAGCGGGTTTATCGGGATGATGTCATAATTCCGAATATCGGACCGCTATTGTTAATGTAATTAACCCAANGAAAGCTCCATTTGGGAGAGAGCAGGAGACCAGTGCCACCTCCTCTGCCAGAGGGTCTGGGTGTATGGGAGAAGGAATATGCTGTGGAGAGAGCTGCTGGGGTGGATGTGTTGGATGGAGTGATCCAGGTCTCAGTGAGAGCAAGGAAATCCAGAGACTGCAGGGAAGCGTAGCCAGAGATGAAGTCAGCCTTAGGAACAGCTGACTGGCAGTTCCACAGGCCCCCTGAAACGAGATGTTGGATCTCAGTGGAGCATGTGGGATAGACAAGAGCAGGCCGGTTAAATCGATTAGGTGATACACGTGATTATAGTATGAGGGGCTAGAAAACCAAAGAGAATTGAATAAAACAAAATAAAACACCAGCGATACTTAGCTCAATCAAAGTAGGATTTGCCTCCTCTTTGCCTCCTCTTTGCCTCCCTCGTGACTCCAACAGGACTCCAATGTCTTTGTCAGTCTTCGTCTGGCTGACGCTCCAGGAAAGAGCCACCTAAGATGGACACCTGATTGCTGAGTTCTCCCAGCTGTGGGGGCACGCCCCTCTAATTAGTTAACTCTTTTCAGCTGGTGTGCGACAGCAGAGTGTTCCTGCCTATTGTAATGCAGGGTTAAGGCGCGTGACCCACTGAGACCTGTCTTACAGGTTGAGTTGAGCAGATCTGAGATTTAAAATCTCTCAGAAATCGCCGTTTTAGCTACAATAACTACAGAACAATTATACAGAGTAGAATAAGTGAAACAGAGACTGANAATGGCATCTGTTTGTTATGGTCAAGATTATGCTAAAATATACTTTCCCCAACTATATTTAAGTTCCCTATGAAGAGCCAACCTTCAACTTTGAAAATTCTCAGTTTATTCCCATAAATTCCCGTTAATTCCCATGCAAAGTTTCCATCTTTGAAAATTCCCGGAATTTTGCAACCCTACTTGTGACTAAAGATTTCCAGTACCATATCTACACTGTAGCTACTGTGTATATGACAATAAAGCCTTTGAATCTTTCAATTTAACTTTTATGATTTTTGAAGGGTAAATACTATTGTCAGAAGAAAAAGCTAACATTTGGCTGTAAACTAACTACGTGATGCTCAAATGACTTCACGTCCCCATCGCTTAGCTAAAGGCGGCTAATGTTCGACCAGATGACATAGTAGTCTCAGTTAGAACCTAAACTGAAAGATGAAATGGAAGCCAATTGGAATAACACATCCATACATCCAAACATGTATCCAAAAGAGTTCAGCTAAAGTCAAAGCCAAAGAGTTGAAATTGGCAGAAACCCAACGTGTTGTTGGCTTAAACGATGTGGTTGTAACTACCATGTTACGTCTTGAAATGCTTTCAATTGCATCTTGTTTCTCAGAATAAACAGCATGTGTTGTTTTTTCTCTGGGTGGAGTGTGAGTTTTGTCTCAGCTCTCCACACATATTGTTCAGGAGGAAGTGGCTCCACACCCTGTTCCTTTTCCTCAGAGACCTTCAGATTTCTGGACTGTCCATCATCACATTCAACATTAGCAGCCCTTGGCTTGATTATAAGTAGTAATCCTAAATCCGAGTGAAAAATCCCATTGCTTTTTGTGGAGGAAACAAATAGATGCTAACGGCCCGTCTACACTACAGGCATCGAAAAATGCTTTCAACGCTTCGCCCATTCACTTGAATGGGGTGACGTAGAAGATTTTTAATCTTCGCCGAACTGCATTGTGGGGAGCATGGCATGGCTTTGCAAGCATCACGAGCATCTATCGGCATCAAAAGTTGAACAATGTTCAACTTTTGAGGCTCGATGCTTGGCATCAGCCAATCAAATCCCGTTTATGCAAATCCCGCCAGTGCAAGCGCTAGCCAATCAAACCGTGTGCAAGCTGGGAGAGCCAGACCGCAGTTCATTTCCTCATATTCCAAACGAGATATTACGGTAGCAAATCACCCGGTTCTTTACGACCACAACTATTTACCGGGATAAAAACCGGAGGAACCAGGCATGGAGGGAGGTGGCAGAGACAGTGGGTGAAACTGGTAGGTTTTTCGCCTGTTTGGAGAGTTTATATCCAGTTTACTTCGTTTTAACATTGCTATTGCTTTGTATGTCGGGGGCGGGAGATTCATGTGATTGGTTGTTGGTCGCGTTGCTCGCAAAAAATCGGCAAGCTTCAGACACGCCCAGCTTCAACTGCAGATTTTTGTGAAAATAGCTGCTAGCGGTCCACGACGGGCGTTAGCTAACGAGGTTAATGTTCCTCTGAATGATGCTTAGGAGGGTTGGGGTGAGTTGCCCGTGAACCCGCTTGTGTGATCAGCTGATTTTGCCATCGTTCTTCAGTGGTGCGTGGGGGCAGCAGAATGTGCAACAGGGAGTCTCCGTCCAGTCCGGTGATCGTAGTTTTGCGGCCACAATCCGACAGACCGACGTTAATACAGTCGAGCCACCTGATCATAGATGCACACAAGAGACCCAGGGAACCACCTGACTCTGGTAAAAGATATCACAAGATACGTTATCATGTAGCGCAAAGGCACTTAGTGACACGAGTGAGCGAGTACGCACTCTTCAATTCCTTTGCTGCGCATCTCGCGTACCCCTGCGTATGCCAGCATTATGTGCTACCCGTGGCTATAAAAGACTACAGTCACGGATCACCATAGCCATACTCNACTTCTCTAACTTCTGGTCACTTTCCAAACAGTCTCAAGGAGGCAAGAGTAAACCCTCTCCTAAAGAAACCCACTCTCAACCCGTCTGATGTTATAAACTACAGACCCGTCTCTCTCCTCCCGTTCCTGTCTAAAACACTTGAACGCGCTGTCTTTAAACAACTCTCCTGTTATCTCCATCAGAACAACCTTCTGGATCCGCACCAGTCTGGTTTCAAGGCAGGTCACTCAACAGAAACTGCTCTCCTTGCTGTCTCTGAGGAACTGCACACTGCTAAAGCAGCCTCCCTCTCCTCTGTCATCATCCTGTTGGACCTGTCTGCTGCATTCAACACGGTGAACCATCAGATCCTCCTTCGCACTCTCCAAGAACTTGGAGTTTCAGGCACTGCACTTTCCCCCCTCACCTCATACCTCAAAGACCAGGGTAACTTGGAGAGGGTCCGAGTCCGACCCTTGTCAATTAACCACAGAGGTCCCTCAGGGCTCTGTTCTTGGTCCCCTCCTCTTCTCCTTGTACACAAACTCGCTCGGATCTGTCATTGCATGGCATGGTTTGTCATACCACTGCTACGCTGACGACACCCAACTAATTCTGTCCTTTCCCCGGTCAGAGACCCAGGTCGTCGCACGCATCTCTGCTTGCCTAGCAGACATCTCTCGGTGGATGTCTGCTCATCACCTCAAGCTCAACCTTGACAAGACTGAACTGCTTTTCCTTCCGGGAAAAGATTGTCCCACTCTTGACCTAACAATCAACATCGGCACCTCTGTTGTTTCCCCGACTCAGACTGCAAGGAATCTGGGTGTAACCCTAGATGACAAACTGTCCTTCACTGCAAACATCGCTGCNGTGTGCTCACACACAGACTCACAGCCTCGCTGTGTCCCGCCGTCTCAGGCTGAGAAATCCGCGGAGCTGCAGCTGAGAAAAGATTGAGTGTGTGTGTGAGGAAGTTAACGTAACGGCTCCGCGGATACCATACCCAGGAAATGTCCCACAAGGCGTTCTGGGGCAGCACAGACAGGTCTTCTCTGAGTTAGAGTGTTACTCCCTACAGGGTGTACTTTGAGGGGTTGAGACTCTGCAGACCGTTCACATGCAGAAGCTACAGAACACAAGGGGACGGGTCAGAACCAGAGAAGCATGACATGGGCCCTTTAAAGCAGGGGTGTCACACTCAAAGCATTTGGCCCTCGACTTCATTTAATGTGGCCCCTCAAGAGCTTGCAAAGAATATAACACATTTATTATACGGTTACATGCCGCTTTAAAGAAGCGCTTTGCCCATAAACTACATGTCCCACAATGCATCTCATTTTGTGACGTCTGCTGTGCATCGTTTCTCTCTAACCAGCAGAGTTACAGGCTGAGTTTAGTAGCTGTGGTTTATTGATCTGATGGTTTAATGATCTGATGGTTTATTGATCTGATGGTTTATTGATCTGATGGTTTATTGATCTGATGGTTTATTGATCTGATGGTTTATTGATCTGATGGTTTATTGATCTGATGGTTTATTGATCTGATGGTTTATTGACCTGATGGTTTATTGATCTGATGGTTTATTGATCTGATGGTTTATTGATCTGATGGTTTATTGATCTGATGGTTTAATGACCTGATGGTTTATTGATCTGATGGTTTATTGATCTGATGGTTTATTGATCTGATGGTTTATTGATCTGATGGTTTATTGATCTGATGTTTATTGATCTGATGGTTTATTGATCTGATGGTTTATTGATCTGATGGTTTATTGATCTGATGGTTTATTGACCTGATGGTTTATTGATCTGATGGTTTATTGATCTGATGTTTATTGATCTGATGGTTTATTGATCTGATGGTTTATTGATCTGATGGTTTATTGATCTGATGGTTTATTGATCTGATGGTTTATTGATCTGATGGTTATTGATCTGATGTTTATTGATCTGTTTCAGGTGGTAGACGGCCACTGGAAGCCCTTCCTGGTGAAGCCGTTCCCCTCTCAACTGATGAAGCCTCTGTTGGTGTTCGTCAACCCGAAGAGCGGGGGCAACCAGGTACTGCCCCCCCCTCCAAATGACATGATACCCTGCAGCTTTATGACTGAAAAACTTCTGCATGACGATCCAAAACATAACTATCAAACACGACATACAATAGAAGGAAGGTTCGTATTACATTACATTAGATGATACTTGTTAGACTTACATACTCAATGCTGTGGGCAATGTGGGGTTTGAACCTGTGCTCTCATCACCAACACCAGTCCACTGCGCTACAGTCTCCCCAAATCTAAATCCAATATGAGACAGAAAACAGTCGAACACACAGAGCCATGTTCATCTGGAACTCTTTACCGTCCATATCATTCAGGAACATTCTCAAGTATTATTATTTGTTAATTGATTTGATTAGCCCTTAATGAGAATTATTATACAATACACAATGAAGCAGTGTCAATTACTGATTCTAAGTTATGTATAAACAAATTATCTACTTACACATCCGAAAAGAGGTGGGAAGAAGTTTGCACATATTTAATCCCACCCAGATAAATAAAGAGAAACATACACAAACAAATAAACTAACAAATACATAATAGAGGTAAATTATATTCAAGAAAGATAAAATAACAAACCAAATAAATAAATAAATGCTAACACCCAGTCATGATTAAACAGCGTCATCCCTCATGTCCTTATACCTTTTTTAAAACAGTTTTAAGTTCGGACATCCCCTGAGCTCTCATTCAAACTGCTCCTGAGCTTCACCCCACAAACAGAAATACAAAAACCTCGCTTGGTTGTGCGCACCCTAACATTAGTGGATTGGAATGATCCCCTTAAATTATAATGCCCTTGTCTTTGAATATTACCTGAGAGTTGATTGATTTTTGCTTTAAAATTAATTATGACATTAAGTACATTTCAAAAAGTTGCTAAAAAATGATCCCAGTATTATAAAGTCAAATGTAACTTTGGGTAAGTAAGTACATATTATTATGTACACTCATTTGTCTTTTTTAGTTTGGCCTTATGATGGCAAAAATTGGATGACCATTTTAGTTTGAATTTCATACAGCACTGTAAACTGCATGAAATGATTGAATTTAATTGATTGATTTAAAACAAGGGACAGTGTAGTTTTCACCGATTGCCCCTTTGCCAGATGGTGATGGGCATCCTAAAAGCACAAGTACAAATACCACGACATTGTTATACAAAAAATGCACATATTTATAATAGACAACACCACTGAATACAGGTAATGAGCAAGTCATAATAATAGGGGATGTANATCTCTTTAGACTCCACTTCGAGCGATAAAATTACTAACAAAGCACTTATATACTAATAAAGGGCTGGCTTTTTAAATGCCAGTTGAGTAGCACTTGAAATGTTTGGCTCTATGAAACCTGATGTACTTATATGATTCTGTTTTCTTAAAGGTTGTATCTTCCTGGTCGAATGCACTTATTGTAAGTCGCTTTGGATAAAAGCGTCAGCTAAATGCAATGTAATGTAATGTAATGTAATTTCACAGTAATTTACTGTAGATATTTTACAGTAAATTAGAATAAAACTACAACTAAATACTGTGACTTTACAGTTGCCATGCCCATGGAATTACTGTGATATAGCAGTACAGAGCTGTGGTATTATGGTACCTTGCTGTACATAAATTACAGTAATTACCTGTATTTTCACACTATTACTGTAGAAGTAATGCAACACAGTAGCCAGTAATTTACTGTAAATATACAAATGTAAATAATACGATAATATATTGTAAATTTGACTAGTTAACTGGGATTTTACCACACAATTCAATCAGCTCAATCAACAAGGAAAAACAAAGAAAATGCCCATTTAAACTTTTTATTACTCCATTGAAGTGCAAAGTACATTTCACAGTGTCTTGGACATGTTGTTACGGCCCCAACCTCTACTCCGCGGTAGTGGCTCGTGTTGAGACCCGCAACATGAAAGAATACACGCAATAACCGGTACTTGGTAACGCATTTATTGATAATCAGCCGTTTGCTCACACAAGCGAAACGGGAAACAAAAAGAGGTCTGGAGGAGTGGCCAAAAGGAACAAACAGGGGGCCGTAGGACCCAGAGCTCCCCCCCTAACCAGAAATACATTNTGGAACAAGAACAACCAGTGTTTGTTTACCGACTAGTACTACCAAAGAAAGCAGGCGTGTCCTTTGTGCCACGGCACCTCACAAACAAACAAGCACATTGAATAATCAGACAAATAAATCAAGTTTCACTTTAGTTTTTCAAGTATCTGAAACTCACTCACTCAGCATCATCAGACAGGTTGTTTTTTAGGAATATAGTAATGTCCATGTTTTGTGTCTTTAGCCTGTACAATACAAAAATAAAAACATGTAATATCGTGATAAATAAGTGTCTGGATATCGTCGTGAGACGGACAAAATGTACCGCGATATCACTTTTTTTATTTAAAATCCAAAATCGTTACATCCCAACATAATAATAAAGAAAACACTCACACACCACTGCTGAATCTGTTAGTGAGACACTTTTGAACACTTGAACGAGTGAGGAGCTGTTTTGTTTAGTCTTGCTTCAGGTGTGTGAGGCATACTTGCCAACCTTTAGACCTCAGAAATCGGGAGCATTTCAAAATGCAAAATTGGTGCACTGCTAGTGGATCGCCGGAGCTGTTAGATTAACATTAACATGCTTATTGTAGTTGTAAGTGCACTGCCTTGTGGCCTGTAGCACCGTCCTTGATGGAGCATATGTGTGGACTGGACCAGGAAAGGAGTGAGCAGAGAGTAGCGTGGTTGTCGATTCTTGTTCTGTTTTCTGTGAATATCTGCCTCACCCTCTCAGACTTTGAGTTGCGCGCGCTACTAAAGAGACGTGTTACCATGGAAACCAAACAATGGTGTAGGTGTATTAAAGTCCGAGTGGAAACAGTCTTGTGTAAATCTGATTTTGTCAGAAATCGGGAGAAATATGACCCCGGGAGGAAACCGGGAGAGGGCTATGAAATCGGGAGTCTCCCGCGAAAATCGGGAGGGTTGACAAGTATGGTGTGAGGACCCCAGGAAGAACAGCCAATGCTCATGCTAGTGCTAATGGGATCCTAAGGAAGAATAAGAATTCTTTAACGCAGGCTCGCTCGCCGAGATGTAGAGTTTATTTGATGACATTATTTAAATGTCTAAATGTGACACACCAATAACGAACAGAACCCAATCAGGAGTGGATTCCTGTAGGGATTTATTGAATCTGCATGATTTGAAATGAAGTTACGACTTTTAGTTTCTGTCTGTTCTTTGGTTTAAAGAAGCTTAATCTGGGTATGGGGAAGTTATATAATGAAACACAGATGGTTTTGTGAACGCGTACTGTCCCCCGTTTGTCAGAATCAGGTTTATCACCAGGTCGACGCGTACGAGGAATTTGACTTGGTGTCGTGGTGCAGACATAAAAGTAACTGATAGAGAACTATTTCAAGAAAACTATAATAACATAAACAAATATTTAAAAATACGGTAAAATATAACCGTATTTACATTGAACTAGAATTGGAATCAAACACGTGCACTAATAGAAAACAAGATGTTGTGTACATTGTGTGCATTCATGTATGTTATTGAGTCGGCTGTGGGAGACATATATTTAATTGTTTCTTTTAAAAACATATAAATAAATATATATCATTTTGCTGGCCTTAATATCATTATTATGTTCCTGTTTTTAAATATTATTATTATTATTATTTAGCTTCTCCCCTAAAATCCTTGTGTTTTTTCTTTTTTCCCTCAGGGAGCGAAGATCATCCAGTCCTTCATGTGGTACCTGAACCCCCGGCAGGTGTTCGATCTGACCAAGGGGGGTCCCAGAGAGGGGTGAGAGCCGACCGGGTGATCACAATACAGTACATCGTTATTTAAATGATCAGGCTTCAGTCAGACACCTCCCGTGTTTCTCTCGTTCGTTAGAAGCTCACTTAGTTTTTGAAGTGAATGTTATTTTGTAGATAGTGATGGTCGTGCTTTTATTCATGTCTTAATGTGTGCATATCTACGTACTACTACAGACTGATGATTGGATCTGCCGCTGAGGCTTCACTTTCTTCCCTGCAGCTTTTCTATGGCTTTCCTTCTTTAATAAAATCAACTGCAGTTTAACTGGAGATAAGTTTAACTTTAAATTGAGTAAAAACCAGAGGAAATAAAATATCAATATTTACGCTTTGTGCCTCCTGCAGATTGGAGCTTTACGCCAGGGTGCCCAACCTGAGGGTCCTGGCCTGTGGGGGGGACGGCACGGTGAGGACCACAACACACACATACTGTGTGTACATGGGGGGCTGAAACACAACCTCGTGTGTGTGTGTGTGTGTGTGTGTGTGTGTGTGTGTGTGTGTTATGGGTCTAAACAGGAGCTCTAAAGTGCTGTGTGCTGTTTTCCACAACAGGTTTAGTC